AATTAGGTAACTTCTGCGTTCTGATTGTAAATGCAGCCTGAAGTAACATTTTACTGGACCATAAATTGTTCTGACTTTCATGCCTGATAAAATCCTTACATTTATTGCAGAAAATGTAAGCCCTTGTTCCGTAACTAATCTTTTAAGTTTTCTGAAATAGTGAAGTCTTGAATAGTCTTCCTAGAAATATGGCATGATTAAAAGTATCATATTGTTCTTTGCAAATAGGCTAGTATAATTAAGCATTTTGGTTACAGTGACCTTGGAATGAGTCTTGAGATACATTTTATAGGATATACACAGATGTGAGTATCCACTTGAGCCTTGAACAATGCAGGGGGTGGGAAACTAACACCCCCCCCCCCCAGTTGAAAATCTGTGTATTTTTAACTTCCCTAAACTTTAACTATAAATAGCCTACTGTTGACTGGAAGACTTACTGATAACATAAACAGTAGATTAAGACATGTTTTATATGCTATATGTATTATATGCTGTATTTTTATACTAAAGGAAAGAAGATGTTTTTAAGTAAATCATAAAGGATAGAAAATGTATTTTCTCTTCATTAAGTGAAACTGGACCATCATAAGGGTCTTCATCCTCTTTCTTGTCACACTGAGTAGACTGAGGAGGTAGAGGAAGAGGAGGGGTGGGTCTTATCTCAGGGATGGTAGAGGCAGAAGAGTTCAGGAAGGTAAAAGGGGAAGTAGGCATACTTGTATAATTATTTTATGGAAAAATTTCCATGTATAAGTGGATCTGCACAATTCAAATCTGTGCTGTTAAAAGGTCAACTGTATTTTAAGATAATATTATAAATCAATATGTGTTTGTACATATCTGTGAACATCTCTCAAGATGTCTAGATTTCAAGAGATGTAAATACATTAGTTTAATGTTCCAATGGCAGTATAATTATAGCTATTGTGTAACACTGAAGAATGCTGACTTACAGGCTGAAATGTACCATCATTGCCTATGTCTACTGCATACACAAAAATGTTTTGAAAATTAGTTTCAACTCTTCCTAATGAGAAGGAGAAAGATACGACTGAAAGAATGTGTACTTCAGAGTCAGACATATCTGTGTTCAACTCTCTTCTCCATGTCTTCCAAATTTTGTAATCTTGATTTAGGTAAATTTTCTAACAAACTCTGAGACAGAGAGGTTTTCAGGCATGAAATTTATTGGGAAGTTAGTTGGGATCAATGTATTTATAGGTGTCACAAACTGAGGAAAGGGAGTCAGGTCTTTGTACTATGTTATTAATTGGTCATTAGCATGAGCTGCCTGTAAATAACCTGTCTTGGTCAAGGCAGTTTCCTTGGGCGGAAGGTGGAAAATTCCCAGAGAAGGATTCAGCTGTGGGCTACCAGCAGCCAGCACTTCAGGCAGCTAGAAAAATGAGTCTTTGTCATAAAGGGGGTGGTGGCATGTGGTATCTACGTGGCACTACTTGCATCATGTATTTATCCCACCTGAGAACAGCTCTTCCAGAATCCTAATAGGTCGCCATCTTTAGGAAACCTTTAAGAGGAAGATTAGTGGGAGCCATGGCCCCTGCTATTCAAGGTTACAACAGCTACTTATTATCTATCTCTTTTCTCCTCTTCTACTTCCCATTCTAAAATTCTCTCATCCTCAGCCCATATCTCCATGGACCTATGTGGGCTACCTTGTGGGATGACACAGACCGTTACTAAGGGATTTGAACCCCTTCTCAACATTTTATTTTTAGGCTGCTGCACTTGTCCGTTTATTACAAAAAAAAAATGAGCAAGGAAATTTCAAAAAATGCCCAGTGTATTACCTGCATGCCTGACATTCTTTTCTGCACTTACTGTATAAAAGCAGCGATATCAGATCCTGATGAGGAGACAGTTATCCCAGCCAAAGGTAATGACCCTTCTTGCTTCTAGTCTCTTGGCATAGGAGCCCAAAGTAATTTGATATAGGATATAGCTTGAAGCTTAATGAGATTCCTACTGTGTCCCCTCTCAGAGGCAGTGTCCCCTCTTGGAAGCAACTTCCCTTTAAAAGCTAGAATCTCAGACCCACAAACCCTAAACTTTTGTGAACAGGAAATGCAAATTTCCCCATTTAAGACTGTGGGAGTGATGCTAAGTTCAACTACTCTTATATTTTCCCCTTTGTTCCTAGACTCATGTATTCTGTCTGTTGGAGATGCAGTATCAAAGAATAGTCATTGATTTAGAGTGTTTTCCACATCCTTTAGGATGGTGCCTCAACATTGCACATGGCATCTCCAAGCTGGAGCTTCAGTTGCATTCCCATCAGAAGGCTGTTCCATCACTCATCAGGCCAGCACCATCTGTGGCATGCAGTGTGTACCAGGACAAGTGGACCTCAGAATTATGCACCCACTGTTCTACCTGAGTCCACAGTAGTCCCATTGGTTTGGATGATACTATGCAGTATCATGTATTCCCATATCAGACACTCTGCAGGCTCTCCGATCTTGGCGCTGATCAAAGCCTGACAGGCATGTAGGGCAAACCCTTGTTAGGAATGGGCTCACGTCTGGTCAAAATGAATTACTGCTCCTTCTAAGGTAGAAGAGGTCTGATGTCATAATCAGCTTACTACCCGAGTGGCAGGCTGAACCAGAGAATAATACTGAATTGAGACCCAGCATCTACCCCTGTTGTTATTAGGTTGAACAGAGCTCATCCACGCTTTTCAAGTATGGAAAATCGGAAATGGATTATTGAGTGGCCCCACTGAAGCAGATGGATGCTGCCAAAGGAGTGGAGAGGAGCTTGCTTCGGGTGTGTGTGCGTGTGTGTGTGTGTGTGTGTGTGTGTATGCATGCACATGCATGTGTATGTGTGATAAGGGGTTGGAATTTCTTGGGTGGGGTGTTAGCAATATAAGAAAGTTGAGACAAGGTCCAAGAATTGAACTGGGAGCTCTTAAGCTGTACAAAATGGTTTAAAAACTCCCTAATTTATATATTTTGTCCTTATCTTTTTAATTTCCTGGTTTTGTTTGCCTTCAGTTTCTGAGTTTCTTTTTAATCTTACTTTACTTTTGGTCAAGATGGGTCAATTTGTCAAATTAAAAGACCACAGGCTAACTTGGTAAATTTGCGTAAATAAATGACTTTTGCGAGACTCAATTTTCTTATTTGTAAAAGTGGAATAAAATGGTTGCTATAAAATTTTAAAACCTGCTTATAAAGTGCTTCTACATGGTGGATGATTAATAGTTGCCTATCAATATTGAAACAATCCTAAAAAAATCACTGCTAAGGAGGAAAGGATAGGGCTTTTATCCTGGTTTGGGGGTCTGGTTGTAAAGATCTGGCAAGCTGGAAGGAAGCAGGCAGTGAAGTGAGTTACTGGTGGTCTGCTTCCCGTTTTCCTAGGAGCCTAACTCATGAGGTGTTTCAGTGATTGGCCTTGCGTTTTCTTTGGTTTTTGCTTCCTTTTTGAAATAGTATGATTTTTGCATTTATTTTTGGATGTCCTTCTATGTTTTTACACTTTTAAAAACTTGTTTTCTGCTTGGTAAAAAAAGCATGATTACTAGAAACACTTAAAGCATAATATTCTTGTATCACAGAGGAAAAACATTCCCTCTTCAACCTCTTGTTAAAAGGTTACTTTAAATGTCTGATAGCTATTCCTTTAGATTTATTTCTATGCACAATTGGATATCACACATATATATAAATATATTTTTTAACAAAATTCAGATCATGTTATGCATATTGATATATCAAATACTCAGGCCTTCGGATCGTGGTGTGAACAAAGGCCTCAGGTCTTTTGTCTATATTACCACATGAGGTTGTTGTATATGCTAAATGAGAAAACTTTGTAATTCACATATGCCTGTAACATGCATCTTTGTCACGTACATGTAAGCCTGACTGTGTTATGCCTGCCAAGGTGATTATTAGCTATTATTATCATGCTTGTCTGAAGCCATATCTTTATTTATTTTTTGAGATGGAGTTTTGCTTTTGTTGCCCAGGCTAGAGTGCAGTAGCCTGATCTCAGCTCAAGCAACCTCTGTCTCCCAAGTTCAAGCAATTCTCTTGCCTCAGCCTCCTTAGTAGCTGGGATTACAGGCATGTACCACCACACCTGGCTAATTTTTGTATTTTTAGTAAAGACAGAGTTTCACCATGTTGGCCAGGCTGGTCTCAAACTCCTGACCTCAGGTGATCTGCCTGCTTTGGCCTCCCAAAGTGCTAGGATTATAGGCATGAGCCACTGCACCCAGGCCTGAGTCCATTATCTTAAATCTCAACAAGATGTTTTACGTTAGGGTTTTTCTCTTACCTCCTCATTCCTCAAAGAGAACAGTGACTGAAAAAACATCGGTTGGGTAAATACAGCATTATCATAATTATAATTTCCCTGAGAAAAGTGGCTTGCAGTTTGAATATTCAGCATCATAATTACAATTTCCATAAGGAATGTAGAACAGTTATTATAAACAACAGAATAATCACTTGGTCCATAAGGGAGAACAGATTATTAGGGGAGTGAGGAGATAGAAGAAGCAAAGCCTGTGTTTTAATCAGCATTCAAGAGTAGAAATACAGAATCTGAGAATAAATTGTTAAAGGACCTTAAAACACTCTTGCCTGAATTTATCAAAAATCTTATCATGATGACTTCCATGGGTTAAGTGCTGTCTATATAATTTTTTCTTTCATACAATTTAATCATGTTTATTAAACATCCCCTCTGCATTTTTACTCATTGTCATTCATAATTTATATACCCACAAGAAATTTTAAAAAGCAAATTATGACACAATTTCAAAGTAAAAATATATTCAAAACAATGTAGGAGAAAAAGAGTTTAATCAGGTTTTTATCTCTCTGGAGTTAAATGCTTCTTTCCAATTCACAGGAAAATGGGTAAAATTTAAAAGCAAAGAAGAAAATGTATTTTTTTAATTTCTTCAGTTAATTGGCTTTTATTCAATTTCCTTTTTGTGTGTGTTTTCTATTTTTTAGGTGAAGTGAGAAAAACAGAATGCAGCTTTCAAGGTTGGTTTATTTTATTATTTTTATTGTAAATTGACAATTTGTAATTGTAAAGATCTATGGGGCAAAACCTGATGTTATCATTTATGACTCCAATGTGGAATAACTAAATCAAGCTAGTTAAAATATCCACCAATTTAAATTCTTAACATTTTTGTGGTGAGAAGATTTGAAATTTACTTTCTTAGTAATTTTCTAATGTAAAATACTCTATAATTAGATTTACCATGCTAATAGAACTAAAAAAAAGCAATACACTCTAATAGAACTGAAAAAAATCCTGTTCTTGTCTAACTGAAATTTTGTACCCTTTGACCATCATCTCTCCATTTCCTTCAAAACCCAGCCTCTATAACCACCATTCTAATCTCTATGTCTGTGATTTCAGTTGTTTTAGAGTCCACCTGTAAGTTGGAACATGCAGTATTGACTTTCCGTGCCTGACTTATTTCACTTTGCATAATGTTCTCTAGTTCTATCCATGTTGTCCCAAATGACAGAATTTAACATATATGTTAAAATGAAACAGTGTGAAAGTAGCGGAGCAAAATATATCCTTAGCTTTGCACCAATACCTATTAGAACACATTGTTTTTATTTTCCTCATTCATTGACAGAAAAGTACAATACAGACTTAAGTAAATTCAACATAGCAATTCAATATCATAGCTAATTGAATCTGTGGCAAAATTGTGAAGTTGGAGTATATAACATTTTTATATTAACATTTAATATTAGTAATTTTTCACTCCATCCATCATTCCATCCATCTACCATTCATATATTTTTATCAATGAATCCTTATTACATACTGTGTGCAAGTTACTATCATGTATCTAATTTCTTCTCTTCATACTTTGTTTGACTGACCTTCAACAGATCCTCAATTCTACCCCTTGCTCCAGCACTTTCTGCTTATTACTGACAATAAACCTTCACCTATTATCACAGATAGTCGATTTTAACTTACTGTATCCGATAAATGATAAAATCCCCAACATTGCTCAGTTCGTGTGTATGCTAGTATGTCTACTTCCAAATAATTAGGGCATAGAGGAAATCATCGGGGTAATAACTACCAAGTATATTGTAATTCAAGTAAATTAAGAGAGTACGAAAAAAGTCCTGATCTTTCCTCCTAAATAGAACATTCAGAATTGAGTTTATACATGAGCACCCTGGATAACGGTAAAGTGTAGCACTGCAGTGACTATGGCCTGAATGTTTTTGTCCTCTCAAAATTCCTCTGCTGAAGTCCTAGCCCCCAAGGTGATGGTCTTAGGCAGTGAGGCCTTTTGGGAAATGATTAGGTTCAAGAATCATGAATGGGATTAGTGCCCTTATAAAAGTGGCCCAAGGGAGTTACCTTGTGCCTCTCAGCACGTGAGACACAGAAAGTGTTGTCTCTAAGGAAGCAGGCTTTCTCCATATAGTATTTCTGCCTGTGCCTTGATCTTGGAATTCCCAGACTCCAGAACAATGAGACACATTTGTGTTGTTTAAATACACTCAGTTGATGGTATTTTGTTATAGCAGCTAAAACAGACTAAATCACAAATGTTCTCATTATAACAGTTTGAAACATCAATGAGTTGAAATGGAACTATCATCTCTACATTGTGCTCCATAGATAAATGGTAAAACTTAATTATTTGCAATGTCCTTATTGAGAAATTAAAAGGGGAAAAAAAATCTTGATAACTCCAGACCAATCTCTAGGAAATATTTAAATATTTGAGTGAAGAGACCCAAATTTGAACCTGCCTGTGAAACCTAGTCTCTCCCTACAATATTCCATGGTCATGCTTCCATTTATACGCACTCTATGTAGATGTTTCTGATGTCTTGCATTAACCACTGTAGGTAAGCTCATGCCCTTCTTATTAAAAGGGAAGCCCAGTAACAGATTTTTAGATTGAAAGTGCTTCAACTATTGTTCATTTTAATCATGGTTTTCTTCAAATAATAAAATCCAGGCCTATAGAGTTTAAATACGTAACTTGTTCTAAATCATAGAGTTCACTAATGACCAAATAGGGACCATGATTACATTGTTTACCACCTTAACATGGGGCATCTCACATGGGTCGGTACGGAGGATAGGAAGGTCTTTTGTTTGGAATGGAAGATATTTCTGTAACAACATATTTCATACCAAACTGTTGCCTAAAATTATTTATCTCCTGTATTTTAAAGCATTTCTCAAAAACCCTTTTACTTCCCTGACTATATCATGATATCCCTGAAGGTAAAGCTCATGGCTACCATTTCTCTGTATTTTCACCATATTTATAAGGTTTAGGTAAATGTTGTGCAGTTCGTTATTCTCCTAAACCTTATCAAGAACATGGAACCTCTGCCTCTGTTCCAACTCAGTGAATTCCACTGATATTCTTTGTAGAAGATCTAGAAAAAAACTCACTGAAGGTAACCAGAAAGCAAAGAAAGATGGCTGGGTTTTGTTTTTGTTTTTGCATGTGTGTATGTTTTGGAATGTGTGTGAGGAGGAAGTGGTCAAAAGGAATCATTTAAATTTGTCTGAGACTATGTGGGTTTAATGACTTGTAGGGAAGCCAGAGTGACCGAAGAGAATAGAGTATGCCTATTGAAAATGTGAATCTATATTTGGATAGATAGAGAGTATCCAGGAGCTAGACATTAGAATGAATGAAATCAATTTTTAAATACAGAAGAAAGGTTAGAAATAAGAAAACTAATTTCCTTTTTATTATAGATCTTAGATCTAATTTCCTTTTGTCTTTCCTGTGTATTTGAAAATGGGATGTAGCTCTTCTTTCCATGTGAGAGCTGTTTAATATTTTCACACTGAAAGTGTTGTGTTTAGATTTGAGCATCACACATTTAGAAGTCTATAAATAACCTATTTTGCCCTTCAAAATATATAGAATGTCACTCAAAGAAGCAGAGATTATACAAGGATTATTAATTAAAGAGGAATTCCAATATTCACTTTACTCTTTCAAAGATCATTAAAGGTGATCAAATTTGTAACTCACAGCAACTCTTTTCACAATCCTTTTCTTCACCTATCAGATCTTTCACACTGCAATATTTCGAATCTTCATCAAAACATTAAGCTCTTCTTGAGCCCTAGTTCTTGCCACTTTTGTTACTTATATATCTTTCTTTTCTTCCTGCATTTATCATGTAGTTCAACCTTGTTTCGCTTACTAAAACCTTCCCTCTTACCCACCTATCTGTCTAATTTTATCTTTCTAGGTTTTCCTGTGAAAGAGGAAGAGATAAAAACTAATAGGCAGGTTATAGAAATGTTGAGTGTACCCAAATGTCAGTAAATCTTGTCTCAGCCATGTATATTCCGTAGCATGGTGATAGACTCAAAATCGCAAGCAGTGGCAGCACACATGGTGGATAGAGCAATAGATTCGCTTTTAATTAAACACGGTATGAGCTTTTATCTCTACTCCCTCCCCAAAAGTAACTAAAATAAGAATAAAGGATAAATAATGTATAACCCCCCAAGGACAAAGTAATCAAGAAAGGTGACAATACCAGACTAAAAATGGCAAACACAATTTCAAAAATATTAAATAGATGGACAAAGATAGTTGTAGTAGCACAGCAGAGTGTTGAAACTGAAGCAATCAGTAAAATAAAGATAATGAAAAGGAGTCTGAGCTGCTGATCCCCAGAAATTGCCAGAAATTAGAGCTATCAAGGGTAGGTATTAAGGAAGTGACTGAAAACATTAAAATTGGGGTTGAAAGTTGGTAAATGGAAAAATTGGGCTCCCAGATTCTCTCCCACACCGTGAAGCCAGGTAACTATCCGAGCCTCGTTTTGTCAAAGACTTGAAATACACTTTGTGAATATTGCAATTCAACTGGAGAGGCACTGATCTTGGAAATCCTAAGATCAGCTTAGGACAGAAAGAAGGCAGTCTAATGAAGACAGAATGTAACTAAAGTCTACAAAAAACAAAATAATTACATAAAAATATGCTTATCAAAAAATGAGACCCTTCATGCATCTCTAACTTCGATCTCAGAACTCTGGAAGCCAAGCAGGAACACAAAGGATTCCTCTCTGGAGACTAAAGAACTCAAAAGGAAAAAGTACAGATAAGGATACTGTTTTCTTCCACTAAAAGGTTCAGTGCTTTATTGTCGGCTACACTAAGGCTCACCAGCTGACAGGTCCAGCAAATACACCCAGAGATTCCAGTCAGCCTTAGAGGTCCTGCAATCACAGAAGGAAACTGCTATAAACAGAGCGGGTATTGTACACCATGAAAGAAGAACACCAATGCAAACAGAAAAAATAAGACAATGCAGAGTGTAACAAAACAATGAAAGGCTATAATACTCTCAAAATGATCAGACATTATATCCCCTAAAGTGGAATAGGATGTATAGATAGACAGAGACAGAAAGAGATAGAGAAAGATAGAGATACACAGATATATATACACACAGAGAGAGAGAAAAAGAGAAAGAGAGAGAGAAAAGAAATTAAAAGTTCTTGGAAAAAAGAAGAAAAAATTGGTAAAAGTATATACTGGAAGTTATACTTAAGGAGAGTTTCCAGAAAGTAGAAAAAAATGACAAAAAAGATTAAAAATAGGGAAAAAAGTTCAACAAACCAAAATTAATTCAGAATACCCACCACCTGACTCATAATAGTTCTTGAAATAAAGATAGGTTTGAGGTAATTAATAAATAATAATTGCAAACTAATATCCAGAATTATTTTCAGATTAAAAGGCCCAGTGATGCTACCAATAATATAAAGGAAACAAAAATCATCATAAAAGTTCGGAATAGAAGAGACAGAAGAGTACACTATAGCTTCTAGAGAGGGAATAAAGAGGAATAAGAAAGACTAAAAGCCAGAATAAACCATGACTTCCCAGTATCAACCCTGAAAATTAGAATCCCATGGAGCAATACTCTCAAATTTCCACATGCTCCACCCAGAAAGAGGAAAAATGGCCCCCAGGGAATAAGGTCACAGATTAGGAA